TTATCGAATAAGCAGGTTATGACCAGACGATGGCCGACGACCTGCGTGAACTGACACGAAAATTTGTGATTAAGATTAGGCTAAATCTGAAAACTAAGCTGTCCGTTTTCAAATCAGTTTTTATTCCCGTGCTGACTGAAAAGCGGCTTAAGTGAGTTTTCTTAAACGAATCGCTGGTTCTTTGCGTGTCGACATGATCCTGAGGTCAGAGATTGAATCAACCTTGGTGTACAGCCCCTGCTTCTGCAGAATGACGTGCTGACATGATTTGGGCACTTGCTTCGAATGCTTCCAAAAACAGAGGCGAAACCGGGGCTACTTGTCCGACCGATCGGCCGAAAACTCAGGGGACGGCCAAATGTGACCTGATGCAGGTGCCTCGATCGACTCTGCTCCAGACTCGAGTTATCTTCTGCCGAACCTGAAACGCGGCGCAGGGTCAGGAATGCTGATGTCTGTTGGACGCGTCAGCCTCCGCAACCCACTGGAAGAAGTGGCCATTGAAACTGACTGATTGACAAGACGATTCATTATGAAGTTTTTGTATTTTTTGACGGTGGCGTAATTTAGAAAATGTAGATCAAACTTTGAACTATCGCCGACTTTGACAGTCATGTCGAAGCGGTCGAAACGATTCATGGATTGAGCCTAACGCTGCGCTTTGTAACCACACATTGAATGGACGTTATCCGCACAAATTTACGAGCTATTCCGCGGAAGTTGAATATTTTGCTGGTCGTCTGTATTTATGCAGAAATGATTCATCGTCAGGTTACGATTATCCAAAGCTAACTGCGAAGCGTGATCGTCAACGGCATCCATGACTAATTGTACAGTTATCTTTGCTCATTGCATATTACTTCATAACACTGGATCGGAGCATTCTTTAAGTACCGCTGTTTAGTGCATCCACTCTTACCTCTCTTTAGAGGAACATAAACAATCAAATGTTTCACTTGCCTCCGCTTTGGCCAAATATAGAAGATTTCTGATTTTAACACGCTGTACCAGACCGTCAAACGACATATTTTTCAAGTACTGTATTTATGACCGATTGTTTCTTAAGGTCATCTTGATCCGTTTGCATAAGCAAAACGTCCTTGGTTTGCAATACCTTTGTGTTCGCAGCATTTTGACACTTTTGCTGCAAGAAGATACTGGCTACTGCATCGTAGAAGACAATATTTCTCTCTGATGGAAAATTTGCTCTTCCATGTGACATGCTAAGTTCCTGATCGAGGTCTGCCGTGTTTGGACTCCCACAGGAGCAGCTCAGTGGCTGAACAAAGTGGTAGATAATAGTGCATAATAACGTGGCTCAAACGGGTTGTCCAACCTCATTTTTCAGAACCCCATATCTACCAAGGTCACCTCCGCCCGGGAAGAAAAGAGAGCCATCCAATACACGGTTCTGCTAGTTAACCCTCATTATGTATCGCACACTGTTGAACAGCCGCTTTTGGTGCTTCGTTACAACAGCTGTCTGCACACCGTAAAATAATCCTGGCCTGACAGACATAAGGAACAGATGGATTTTCGTGGGATAAAGAACTACTTCCTCAGCCCAAATATTTGGCAGAGTAAGAGCATTCGAGAGTACACCTTTCCTCCAATTTAACTCTGGTTGTACGAGTGAACCGAGACACTTAAGCTTGTCACCCTGCTGAAGGGCCTCTTCTCCTTGTTCCTCTTGTAGATCAGCTGTGCCATATGGGTTCATGATAACTTTTGACCTTTTGGCATTAAGAAAGAGGCCAACTTTTGCAGCTATGTGGAGCACAGTAGAGGTCAGGAGACAGAACCCACTCACCATGGTGATATCATTTGCATACCAGGTGTCAGAAAGATATCTAGTCGGTTATTCTGAACCGCGCCTTTCCCATAGACTTTAGTGTTTGCCTTACTAAGCACTGTTTTGGAAAAGAGAAAGAACAGTGTTGAATAGCAAACGCGAAAGCACATATCTGACGATCTCCACAGTTAATAGAGAGCCATTCACATATCTCTCCCTCAACAATGATTTCTAAAACGGTTAGGGGCATACATTTCTTCTCAAAGAGAAAGGTGTCCAGGTATCTCGCAGCATTTCAAGACTCTCCACATCATCGAACGTTTTAGAGAAATCAAAGGCAGCTTTGAAGTCGTAGAAACTGGCAAACTAAGGCAACTGGAGTCGTCTAAACGGTGCAAATTTGATCATTGTAGAAATACCTCTTCTGAATGTCTTGCCTCGCATAGATTTGCCTCCTTTTAACAGACGCAAACAAGGGCTTCAGGCAACCGTGTCCGCCAAACTGCTGCGTTTTTCGCTTGAAGCATAGGTTTTCAGCTCTCTGACAAACTTAAGGAGTGTGAAATTCAGGAATCATACTAAATGCAGGTGTCCATTGTCATATCAAAGTACTTCGTTTTAAAGGCGGCTCT